AGTCCTCCGACCCTCCAAGCACCCCAAACCCCTTGAAGCCTTGCAACCTACGCCCCAAACCAAAGAATTCTCCAGTATCCTGAAAACTCAAGCGTAACCTTTTCCCAGACCCCCCCGGAGGATCCAAAAAGTAGATCCCTTAATGGGGGTTCCTATCAAGTACCCTTACCCAGACCCCCGGGAGGATCCAAAAAGTAGATCCCTTAATCGGGGTTCCTGTAAAGTACCCTTAGTAGTATAGGGCCCCAAAAATAGGGGATCTACTTTCTAGATCCTCCTGGGGGTCTGGGTAGTAGTATAGGGCCCCAAATTAGGGGATCTACTTTCACAGATCCTCCCGGGGGTCTGGGTTGGAGTATATTGGGATTACCGTAGGACAACAACGTTAAAGGTGACCTACTCCACTAATGGCCTTCGGATGTTCTGGCAGGTCTCCTCGTTCACGGTTGGAATAGAGTTAAAACATGACATTGTTATTCCTTTTTGGGTTTAAGTACCCATAGGTATGTAAAATGTTACCCAACTATGACAAACTAGACCCAGCAGTAACCTAGGAATAAAGAGGGTGCCCTTTTCGGCTTACAGGGGGTTCCAAGGGAACCTGAGCCCTAAAAAAGGGAATAAGGGGCCTACTCTCGGTGGGAGTTTCCGAAAACATGGGACCCGAATATAGTACACCAAATAGTAGGATCCTTCCTATAAGGACCCCCCCCCCCAAAAAAAAAAAAACAAACAAAAAAGGTACCCTAAGTTTTGGAAACTCCCATGTCCTAGCCAACGATGACAAAGTCTCAGAGCCGTTGCATCTTGGGCATCGCAAGGTCGAGGCCTTGTGGCTTTTGTCTTAAGGTTTAGGGTTTTACGGCTTTAGGGTTTTTAAGGCTTTAGGGCTTTAGGATTGTAGGGCTTTAGGGTTTTAAGGCTTAGGGTTTTAGGGCTTTAGGTTCTAGGGCTTTAGGGCTTTAGGGCTTTATGTCTTTAGGGTTTAGGGCCTCAGGGTCGTGGGGTTTTAGGGTTCAGGCGGCTTTAGGCTTGAGGGTTGTAGGTTTTTAGGGTTCGGGCTTTTGGGTTTAGGGTTTAACGGCCTCCAGGGTTAGGGTTCAGCGTTCCGGGCTTCGGGAGGATCTACAAAGTAGATCCCTTAAGGGTTTAAGGTTTGTTTACAGGGGATTGTCGGGCTCATACGGCTTTGGGAGTAGATCCTTTCAGGGGTTCCTTTAAAGTAAGTACCCTTTAGTAGTTAGGCTCCCAAATTAGGGGATCTGCTCTTTGGATCCTCCCGGGGGCCTGGGCTTAGAGTTTAGGGTTTTTTGGTACATGCTTTAGGGTTCCAGGCTTTAGGGTTTCGGTTTGTAGGTCAGAACAGGATTTGGGGATATTATAGTAGGTGTCGATTTCGACAGTCCCCAAAATTTTGTACCAAAATGATGTAAAATGAGGGGTTGAGGGTTTAAAGCTTGGGCTGGGGGTCTGAGTTGCTTTTTGGGTATAGGTGTGTTAACAGGTCCATTTTTTGATACATCAAGTTTTAAGGATAATTTTTCGGGTTGCATTCGCAAGGCCCCCAGGCCCAGCAGAAAAGCACTAAGTTTGATGACGCCATGGGTGTAGAGTAGTAAAAGACACGAGCATGGTTCGCTAGAGGACTGCCGGTTGTGGGGTTGTCAGGCTTGTCACTCTGCAGCAGCAAGGATCCTAGGATCACCCAGTTGTATAAGGAGCCTAAGACCACGAGAAGGGGAAAAGGGCCTACTGGAAGACCTAGGAACAGTGCGATACTGACGTTTTATTGAGACAGCGGCGGTTTTGCGTTCTGGGTTTAGGCTGTCTATGCACAGTGAAGGTGTCTTTGCCCATAATGAAGCAGACCACTCTCCGACGATGTTGCTCCCAAGATTTCCAGCGATCGCGAGACGACTCTATTTCGGGAATGTTCTCGAAGTCGAGTTCCTGTATCTTCAACGTGCTGCCAAATCGTCGTTTTGGGGTGAAGCCGTAGTTGACACGACAATCAATCTCCTCGTCAACGATGAAGCGCTTCCACCCTTCCGCCACGAAGTGTCCGCCCCGCTTCATTTCTTGGAATCGGATACTGGCATTTTTGAGAGATTGACGTAAACAGGGTCTTAATGATTGCCAGTAGTATTACTTGTAATCTGATAGACCCCAAACCCGTTCCAACATCAAGGCCCCTACCCAGACCCCCCGCACCCTCTATTAAGGGCTTACCTGCCTTCAGGTGTAACAGATAGATACTACTTGATAATAGAACTATATATATATATATATATATATACATATATATACACATGTATATACATATATATATATAGAGCCCTTGCTATGACCCTAAGACAGGCTGTTACAGGATGGGGGCAGTACCCAAAGTTTAGGGTTGTATCGTCTCAGGTTTGACCCCTGGGAGGGTCTAGGACGTAGAACCCTTGATTTGGGTCCGTGTGCTGCTGAAGGGTACCGAATACTTGGAGGGTCGGGAGACTTAGTAAGTAGTTATTTCAAACCCGCTTGAGGGATCTGCTGTTGCGTTCTTGCAGGGGTCTGGGTAGTTACGGTTGATGATATAAATCCTGCATTACCCACAAGAAGGAATATACCATAATTCGCATAGTTTTGGGTCCTTAAGGTAATGCAGGATTTATATCATCAACAGTATGGAGTTACCCTGGACCTGGACCCCCTCAGGATCAAACAAGCTCTGGAACCCTTACAGCGGCCACGATCCTAGCCTTGTTGGGTCAGTTCTCTAACTAAGGTCGAGAACTACCCAACTGAAGCAGTGATGACTTACTAAGTCCCATGACCCTTTAAGTAGACAGTAGAACCCTTACTTTGCGACCCTTTGCTACTACAGGGCCACTTATGCGAAGCCCCTTTCAGGGATCCTTAAGCCCGTGATCCTCGTTTTACAACTCCCTTTAAGGAGCACTTAAAGGAATCACCTGGAGTCTGGTATATTAACAACAACCCTCAGCCTCAAGCAAAATCTTGGCCGTGTCGCACATCGGCAGCTTTCGCAGAGTGCGAAGCGTGCGATTTCGCCGGGCTTCGTGCACTTCGGGCAGACCAGCCTCAGCAACTCAACTACTTGGAGGGTCGGGGGATTCTGTGGCGTTTAAGATATTTATAAGTCTGTTTTTTTACCTACATACCAAGTCCCCCGACCCTCCAAGTAGGGATGCAACAAAGGGTTATCGGGTTTGAGGCCATGAGACTTTAAGGTGTTTGTAGGGCTATATGCTTTAGGGTATCGGGCTATAGGGATTTTGGGCTTTAGAGTCTTGATGTTAAGCTCCCAGACCACCAGAGAAATCCAAAAGTGGGGCAAAGTGCATTCTCCTCTCACGGGGACCTTAGGGGAGGGAGGGGGTAGGGGGCCTTATACCTATTATCAGGACTTCATAAGACCTATTTAAAGAAGTTTGGTATACAATGCTCTATTTTCGTTCATATAATCGCAAATTGTAATATATTTTCGAGATAAGTAAGTATAAGTACAAGAAGGAGCCCGGAGGAATCGTGGCCCCCTATAGTGATAGTGTGCTTGAAGGGTTAAGCGGGTTTGTTGTCTCATAGTTTGGTGTTGAAGGCCTTTTCTGCAGATTGCCAAGGGGCACATGGTAGGCTGACTTGCCGCAGTTCTCGGTATAACCTTGGTTGCAACTCGCGCAGGGACATCCGTCAGTCTGCTACTCGTTGCTTCTGTCGTCGTTGCTCCACGATGGCAAGAAGGTCGATGCATGAACCCTACGTCCCAAACAACACCACCACCCAGCACCTCAAAACCTAGACCCTAAACCCGAAGCATGTACCCTGTAGCCCTCAAGCCGCAACCTGAACCACTACCTCAGAGCCGAGCTGCATTCGAAGGAGGAAATGCCAGTTTGCGCAGAAGTTGACATCAGGTCGAAACCCGTCCATACCCTCTGGCCAACATGGCAGACACACAGATCTAAGCACTAGCAGTGTTTTGGTCCTAAACACATAGACCATATGTGTTTTGAGGTCACTTCCTGGTTTGGGGTTTCGGTTTTTGCGGCAGAGACAGAGACTTCGGATACGGGGTCTTGGACTTGTGGTAGCTGAATCGTTCATGCACCTACATGCTTACCTGCGGAGATGTGTGCAAAGGGTGCCAGAAAAAAGTGTAGGCACGCTTGAGAAACGAACAATTCCACAACATATTTTAATATACCACAATGTACTATAGTACACCTACCAGGACATTGTGTTGCCGGACCACCCCCCCCCCCCAAACTTGACGCTCGAAGCCCATCTGACAAGCAAAGCGGCAGCGGAGAATCACAAAAAGCTTAAAGTTTAGGGCAAAGCAGCTGGCAACCCGTAACCAAAACCCTCGCAGCCCCCCCACCCTAAACATTCGAACATAAGACAAGGCTTCGAGCCCTAATGTAGGAACCTGATTTAGAAACCTTGGGTCTTTATTAGGATCCATACATGGATCTTAACATATTGGGTTATAGGACCAGGGCTTCTTAAACAGGTTCCTACATTGCGACGAACCCGAGGTTTCTGTACAGGGTGCCTAAATGATCTGAACCCGGACCCCTACTTGGAAAGTCGGGGGGCTTAGTAAGTAGTTAGTAAGTAGACTTAGGAAGTAGGCTAATCCCAATTAAGGTCCCCTTTAGAATACTTATGAATCTACTTATTACCCACTTACTAAGTCCCCCGACTCTCCAAGTAAGGTAGAAGCCCAAAAGCTGGAAACCCAATAGCCTCAACCCCTTAAGAGTACTGTGCACTATTTGGCCTTAATCCGGTTTCCAACTTTTTGGGGTTTACTGTAAAACCAACACCCTCAACCAGCGCGCTGCGGGGGCGCTGTCCGAACCCTGGACACCCTAAACGCCTAAACCCCAAACCCTCAAACCCTAGATCCTAAGACCCTGAACCCCAATCCGGGGAGCCTCCTTTCATTCAAAACCCTCACCTGTTACGCCAGTCTCCTCGGACTGTGCCTCAGCATCGGTGACGCGATTCAGATTCCACATCGCATGTCCGCGACCTTGGGGCTTCGTAGTCGGGTTTAGGGTTTACTTGGAGGGTCGGGGGACTTAGTAACTGGTTATTTTAGGGACTTATAAGTACCATAACCCCAATTAGGGTCCCTTTTAGGGTACTTATAAGTCTACTTACTACCTACTTACTAAGTCCCCCGACCCTCCAAGTAGGGTTCGCCAGCGCAGTGCTGGCGCCCTGGCGCCAATTCCGCTTTCTAGCATTTTGAAGCAATTTCTCTTCCCTGGAGGGTAGCGCTACTCCCTAAAGTTTTTTTACATTCCATTTTCTCGCTTTAATGGTTGGGGTGGGTGGCGCCCCTAAGCCTTAAAGTTTAAGTTTATTTCTTCGTTTTAGTGTTTGGGAGCTGGGAGAGCTGGACACACCGGGAGCCAAACCCTTCTCCAAGCCGCCAAACTGGGTTTTTTTGTCATTTCAAACTGGGTTTTTGTTTTTTCCACGCCCCTCCATGCCCCTAAACTTTTTGGCCCCAAACTGTGTTTTTGGCTTTTTCCACGCCCCACTGCGTTTTTTTGGCTTTTTCCACGCCCCTCCAAGCCCCTAAGCACCAAACTGCCTTCTTGCCCCTCAAAGCCGCGAAACTGGGTCTTTGGCCTCCAAGCCCGCAAACTGGGTTTGTAGCCTTTTCCAGGGATGCCCTGCAAAGCCCCCAAACGCCCTAAGCCCCCGAACTGGGTTTTAGGCCTTTCCAAGCCGTCTCCAATTCTAACTGGGTTTTTTGCCTGTTCCAGGCCCCCTCCAAGCCACCAGACAAACTGGGTTTTGGGCCTTTTCCAGGCCCCGCACTGGGTTTTGGCTTTTTCCAAACCTCCCCCAGCCACCGAACTGATTTTACAAACCCTCTCCAAGCCCGCAAACGTTTTTGGCCATTTCCAGATCCTCTCCAAGCCACCAAACTGGGTCTTTCCGAACCCCCGCCAAGCCACCCAACTTGTTTTTTGGCACCCCTCTCTCAACCACCAAATTGGGCCTTATTTCAATGACGGTTCAATTTACTTCAATGCTGTTGGGGTATATTGAAATTGGCGCATCTTCGGCGCAAGCCGTCTAAAATTTAGGGTTTCGGCATATTTGACTGCTACTGTTGGCATTATTCTTTTGCTAGTATCAGTATTCGTTTTACTTCTACTTTTTCTTCGTTACTACTGTTTTTGAATGCCGCACTTCCGGCACTTGGACGCACGCTAAACTAGGGCAAACCTCATGCAAGAAGCAATCGAAACGTGTTCTATTGGGCTGGTTGAGAGTCTATAAGGTTCCACAAGGTCAAGGGGTAAGCTTCTACAGGTTTGGTAGAGATTCTTTAACTCTTTACAGGCTTGTACAAAGGTTCTCTAAGGGTCCCTTCAGGAGCTGTGAGCGATGCAGATCTAGCATACTTTAGGGCCTTTAATTTTGTCGGAAGAGAGTTTTGGGGTACAGTACTGAGACAAAAACCTAGTGCGGAAGTTGCCACGACACATGAGGACTGCCAGAACATTACACGCTGTATTCTAAGCCTAAAGGGAACTCCAGAAAGTTGGAATATGGTTTCAGGGTAGGATACCCTATAATTTACCATAAAGGGTGTAGGATAATCATATTCCAACTTTCTGGCTTTTACTTTACTTTGGTTTCAGCAACAGCTGATGCACTGCATGCCACGTGATCCAGAGGATAGTCGTCCAACAACAGCCAGCCGGAGGGCAGTCCTTCTCAAAAGTGCAGAGTTGCAATCTGCACATATAAAACAATAAATGAATATGTATATATATATATATATATATACACACAATACAGTTGTACATTACATGAATGCACTACCGATATGCGTGTATATATATATATATATATATATAACATATAAACTACATATATACATGTATATAGAGCAACATTCAAAAAGTATAGAGGGCCAGGTATTGCAAACCCCCATCAGCCTTGTTTAATGCAGGGCTCGAAAGAACTCAACTTTATTCTTGGGGAGTTTTGTGCCATAAGTTTTTCAATGAAACAGTTTTCTGAGTAAGCATACAGCTTCAAACCTGAACCCCTAAACCACAAAAACCTGGAACCACAAGAAAGACTAGTACTAATGGCTCTTGCTTCGCACGAGGCCCAGGCGTACATGGCTTTTGTACCATTCGGGACGCAGCTGGCAAGCCTTGTCCTCAGCTTCTAAGGGTTCCTTTAAAGGGATCTATAAGGGTACCCTATGAGAATAGGGTTCCTTTAAAGGGTTCTTCTAAAGGAGTCTACTAGGATTTATAAGGGGGATTATGGAGGTTTAGTACAGTGGCCTTAATAGTTAGACTAGGGTTTTAGGGCCCAGCATACTACAAGTATAATAATAAGGAACCCCCAAAATAGTATAGGTAATTATTTAGGTCCCTATTGTGGGGCTCGGGTTTTATCGTTTTAACTTTCAGGGTTGACGGCATCCTCCCATCAGACAGGTTACGGGAAGGTTTTCTGCAAAGGTTCTATTGTTTGGATCCTCCCGACGGTCCGGGAATGTAGGCATCAACACATGATGCAAGGATCGACCTGCAATACAGACCCTTGCGCAATCGACCCCTTTTCGTTACTCCCATACTCATGTTAACATTCGGATGCCCATTATTTAATCATTAGTTATGGACGGAGTTTGCTTTTTAAGAGGTCCATGTTGCCGTGTACACTGTGCTTGCTTCCCGAAGATCGAAGGGAACCACAGTTCTAGCAACTTATAAGAACCGCGAAAGATGTAAAAGTTTGCTATTGGCCAGGTCCGCAATTTCAATCACAGGGGTTCCCCTTGTCCAGTTTTTCAGCGTCACTGAGGAACCACTCGAAACACTCAACCGGCCACGAGATACTGGTGGACCTTCAAACCTTGAGACCTAAACACGAAAATCCTGCGTAGCATGCCCCTTCCGAACCCATGACAGAACCCTCAAGTAATGAACCATTTGCTGGAGAACCAAGCTGGTGAGGATGCATAGTATTGACATATATTATCATATATTGACATGAGCAGAGGCAAGATCAGAACGAGAAGGCGTAGATCAGAAGGGAGAGAGAGAGAGAGAGAGAGAGAGAGAGAGAGAGAGAGAGAGAGAGAGAGAGAGAGAAAGTAGGGCAAGGCATACCTAAACCTTCACAACTACGTCAATTAATGGCCCAGCCCCTGCAAGTTCCACTATTCTCCATGCCTTTGGGGTCCGAGTAGGGTTTTTGGATCTATCCCAAACCTGAACCCTAAACCCTAAACGAAACTGAAACGCTAAAGCCGTCTCATATCCTTCAGGGTATACTTGGAGGGGGACTAAGTAGACTTATAGGTGCCCTAACAGGGGCCTTTTAATCGGGGTTATGTTACTTATAACTTTATAAGTTCTATGCTGAACTTAGACCCCTAGCAGAATAACATTTTTGCTGTTTCTTAGGGGTTTAAAATAACAGAAGATTAGAGATTATTTCTAAGTACCCCTAAGTAACTCTACAAGATAACTACTACGTCCCCCGTAAACTCCAAACTTTCCTAAACCTTACAGCCTTAGGGTATAAGGCCGTAGGATTAAATCTAAGCCCTAAACCCTAAACTGTCCTAAACCCTTAAAAGCGGTCTCGGCTACTTGGAGGATCAGGGGACTTAGTAAGTAAGGACATAAGTACCTCATTTGGGGATATAAGGAATTATAAGTATAGTTACCTTAAACCTAACCTCAGTTACTAAGTGCCATGACCCTTCAAGTAAGGCTTCTCCAGCGGACCAGGCTAGGACACCGGGCCGCGTCGGCCAAGGCATCCACGTATCTTCCCAAAGACGCAGCTGCACCTGTCTAGGATGCCCTTCTATAATATGAGGGCTCCTTTAAAGGGATCTATCAGGGGGTTAGGTCTACTTAAAGGGCCATGGGACTTAGGAACTAGGGTTTAGGGCTCCTTTAAAGGGCACTATAGGATCTAGAGTGGGGCTCCCTTTAATTAAGGGGTTTAGGGCTTAGGGTCTACTTAAAGGGCCATGGGACTTAGGAACTAGGGTTAAAATTCAGCTATACTTGTAATTACTTATAACACCAAATAAGGTACTTATAACCCCAATTACTAAGTCCCATGATCCTCCAAGTGTCTAGGATGCCCAGTACCCTGGGAGTAAACAAGGGTTCCTTTTTTTGGTATTGCGTGATTTTATGTGGAACTTAAGACCACAGAGAGGGAAGCAGGGTCCACTGGAAGGCCTAGCTGCCTAGCGCAGCTCGAGGTAAGGTTTAGCATCGTACGGCTCGAGGGATGTAGGCTCAAGGGTTGAGGGCCCTGCGGTTGATGATATAAGTCCTGCATTACCTATAATAAGCAACATGCCATAACTCCCATAGTTTTGGGTCCCTAAGGCAATGCAGGATTTATATCATCAACCGTAGTTGAGGCTTGGGGATGCGAAGTTCAGGCACGCAAGCTCGGACGTGCAGAAGCAGTGGCGGGGAAGTTAGATTGAAATGACGTCTCTGGCTTCTGTCATAGGTTTCTCAATACCCCCTTAAGAATGCGTGCACCCGTTTTGATGCTGGTACTCGCAGGCCCGGGGATTTCCGTGTGTCGTGAGCCTGCCGAGTTACAAGTATGTTGACACTGACACTAGCTGGGACTATGATGCTGTTAACATCTGTTAGCCCTGCCAAAGGGACTACTTAACAAGTCAGTGTTGGTAAGAAGCATTAACACAGTCTCAGTAGCCTGAGGCCATGCGTGCTGCAAAGATGTTCGGTAAACCAGTGACGGAATCGGACTACTTCGCATCCATGTAGATTCAAAACAGTTTCGTTTCAACGCAGGAAGCAAGATTCGTCTACTCGTAAACCAGCACTCTGCAAGTTCTGACACAACAAAAGTGGAGGGCCATGATTCGAATGCCGAATCGGAACACCTCAAACTCTAGGATACCCAGTAACCTAACAATAAAAAGGCCTCTCTTTCTGGTATTGGTTAACTGTACAAGGAACCTAGGACTACAAAAAGGGAATAAGGGTACTACTGGGCATCCTAGAACTAGAATTGGTATCAAGTTTCAGACAAGGGTTCGTCATAAGGGAGCAGGGTTGCAAGCTTCTCAGAGCGCCTCTACTACCAAACGCTATAAGAGCCTTTTATAGCCTTGCGAACCCCCTTACTTAAAGAGTCATGGGACTTAGCAACTAGGGCTATAAATAACGCAACTATCTATCTCTATATATATATATATGTATATATATATATACATATATATATATATATATATATATATATAAATAATTCATTATAACCCCAATTAGGGCACTTATAACCTGACTTACTCAGTCCATCCATGAACCAAGTAGGAAACACATCCCGAGAGATTAACATCTCTTGCCACAGAGCCCGGCCTCCCTTCCTGAAGAAAAGCTATCCTATTGGTGCTCAGAGACTCCAATATCCCTTAATTAAGGAAATATTCCTTAAATCATATTTGGGATCCTACTATGATTTAGGGTTTGTTCCTTAATTAAGGGATATTGGAGTCTCTAGGCATTACTTTTTCGTCTTAAGACAGTGCCGAATCCTTTGGCACCTTCAATTGCTACAGGTCCTACCTATACTGAACTTAGAACCCTAGCAAAAGTCAGAATTTTAGCTCTTAGGCATTTTAATAACACAAAATTGAAAATTGTTTCTAAGTACCCCTAAGCTACAGGTAAGCCAGACTTCAAGATCTTCTTGCACCGTTTTTGCCGCTGCCCATCTACTGCTTCCGGGTGACAATCGGGGCTCACCGCTGCAGGGCTGCAGGGGTGGTTGGACTTTTGAACTTTGTAAGGGGTTTTGTGGGGGTTCTCAGTGGCTGTAAGAGTTTGGAAGGTTTCTACAGGCATTGTATATACGGGTTGCATAGGTCCGTTTGTAGGATGTTATGATAAGGGGCATAGGTATTTTGGCGTCTATCACGGCCTCGACCGCAACTCCGACCTCCCAAGTAAGAGGGGGGCCTTTATCATTGGGTTTGGGGTCTGTTACACTATAGATATCAAAAGCAACCTAATGTAGACCTAAGAGTAACCTAGGAATAAAAAGGGTGCCCTTTTTGGTTTCAATGGGATTCTAATGGAACCTGAACCCTAAAAAAGGGAATAAGGGCCTACTCTGGGTCCTAGTAATACAGTCCTGATGATTTACGCTTCTCAACAGCTTCTACAGTGCTTGATCCTAGAAGCCCTCAGCCGTAGATATCCAGACCCTCAACAATACTCGCTGAGCCCAGGGATCATCCTCGCGGGCTGCGTCTAGCCAGGGATGGCTCTCTAAAGCATCCTGCATGCATGTCCGGTTTAGCGAAGCTCGGACAGCGCAGGTGCGCGCCTGTGCTGTGGCCACTGTTGCAGTGCGGAAGGACCCTAAACTCACATGATGCAGACTGAAGCAGAATATACAAGCTGTCGTACTTGCCAGTCAGCCACCCGTTCGTATCATAACCAAGATGCTTCAGAAGCCTTTCGACCCATGTACTAACGGGCTCTGTTTGTTAAATCCTGCGCGCGCTCTGGGCACCATTGAGGTCGTGGAGCCCTCCGCAGAGCAACAAATTCGCGACAAAATCGAGCCTTCAGACAGGATGTGTTGCAGGCCAGCCCCAACTGAGGTAGGGTTTGTGCTGTAAACCTAAAACCCGTAAAGACCCTGAACCCTTGATAGGTGTACCAGGCATCTAAAACAAAAATACGGTTCCTTGAAGGGCTCCTTTAAAGTGTTACTGTACGGGTTCTATGGTATAAGGGCCTGAATCAGTTGAATAGTGCTCAGTTGAATAGTGCTTTCGGGGTGTATACACCTTAAGTAGAAGGGAACGACAACGTGATATTAGTGGTACTTTTTCGGACCTCTGCATTCCTAAACCTTCCAAGTTCTAAACCCCTAAAGCCTTAACCCCAAACCCTAAACCCGATGTGATTCAGATGCGGGTGGGCGCTCCATAGGGCTGAAGCCATAGTAAAGGTTCTTGCCCAGACCCTCAGGAAGATCCAAAACGGTAGATCCCTTCAGGGGGTGTCGTTACAACACTTAGCGGCTGAGCATTTAAGCCCCGGAACGTTTAACTATTCAATTATGGTAGGATTATATAAACTGCAAAAGGTTGAAGGTTTTGTACTCAGCTACTAAGAATACGGTACCTTTTTGTCAGGGTCCCAAATTGTGGGATTTCATTTGTATGTGGGTTCTTATACAGGGCTCACACCCTGAACCCTTGACCTTTTCAGTGGACGAAGCTTATCGCACAAAGCTTGATTTGAAACATGTCATCAAAACCTTCCTTGCCTGTCCAGTATCCTAGGGGGACTAAAGGGTAGCCTTTTACTTTGTAATTGTATAGGGGTTTATCACGCCCCCTCAAAACATAATGAAAGGTCACCTACACTACTGCTAAGCGTCTTTAAGAACGGAGCAACGCGCCTTTAAAGGATAAGGGAACAAGCTACTTCAGACCCTGCTTGTACTGACTATGCAAAAGGGATGCCTACATGTTCGAAACAACAGTTTCTTTCGCGTCCTAGGATGGTGTCTACGGTTTGCACGAACTTGACCCTCGTTGCTCTGTTTGAGCTTGTAGGACTTTAGAGTATAGCCAAAGCCTAAACGGCATGTCGGGCATGTCGGGCTTTACTTGTATGCATACCCACCACATGTAAGCCCATTTTCGGATCTATAAATGGTTTATGCCGCGAGACTTTGCGTGACCCTATTCATTCTTCATTCGCCACCTTCTCACTATGGCCCCTATTGCTTCAAACAGCATTTGGAAGCAGAATTAGCTCCTAAACACTACTTGGAGGGTCGGGGGACTTGCTTAGTAAGTAGGTAGTCCACAAACATATAAGTGCCCTGACAGGGGTCCTGATTGCGGCTGTGATACTTACAACTCCATAACATAACTACTTGCAAACTCCCCCGACCCTCCAAGCAACCAAAACACCCTAAACCCTCAGCCCTACACCCTCAACCCAACCACTAGGAATCCCAAACCTATACTGAACTTCGGACCCGAGTGAAAATCGCAGTTTTAGCTGTTTCTCAGGGGTTACAGTCACAAAAAATGAAGAATTTACAGTTTTAGCTGTTTCTTAGACATGAACTCACCCCAAAGTAAGAAATATCTGTAACTACCTGTAAGAAGAAGTTTGCCGATCTGAAAAAGGGAAGCTTCTTGGCCTCACAAGCAGAACCCAATAAAGCGCCGAACAGCGTTTGAGGGTCCAGGGTCTTCGAGCTTGAGGGTGAAGGGATTGAAGGTTTTAGGGTTTGTTCGGCTTTAAGGTAGCTGGGCCAAACTCTTGTAGAACTCGTCGGTTGAAGCGTGATTACTAGGGGGCATGTTTTGCGGACGACTGGCTGCAACAGTCTCCTGACGTGAACCCAGGAAGCTGGCTGCCTCTTGTGGGACAAAGACGCAGCGGCATGAGGGACCTAAACCCTAAGGCCATCTAACACCTAAACCCTAGGGTTAAGGCCGAAACTATTGAAACCCTCTGAATCTTAAGCTCTAAACCTAAGCCCTGAGGGTCCTAAACGTTTAAGCAAGATGCACGTCAGCTATAGGAGGCAGAAACCTGGCGCAAGCCATGACACGGAGGCTCCGTAAGACATCAGGGTGCCCGCTGGCAGCACTACCCGTCTCTATCCCCAGAGAGCCCAATACCCCTTAATTAAGGAATATGGCTTAAATTATAAGGGGGCGCATAATATGATTTAAGCTATATTCCTTAATTAAGGGGTATTGGGCTCTCTGGGTCTATCCCAGACCCCAGACATTTGGATCTGAACGCAGGACCC